CATGGTCAGAAGTATTCAGACCCTTTGCCGTGACACTCATATTTAACTCAGGTGCTGTCTATTTCTTCTGATCATCCTTGAGATGGTTCTACACCTTCATTTGAGTCCAGCTGTGTTTGATTATACTGATTGGACTTGATTAGGAAAGCCACACACCTGTCTATATAAGACCTTACAGCTCACAGTGCATGTCAGAGCAAATGAGAATCATGAGGTCAAAGGAACTGCCTGAAGAGCTCAGAGACAGAATTGTGGCAAGGCACAGATCTGGCCAAGGTTACAAAAAAATTTCTGCTGCAGTTAAGGTTCCTAAGAGCACAGTGGCCTCCATAATCCTCAAATGGAGGACGTTTGGGACGACCAGAACCCTTCCTAGAGCTGGCCGCCCGGCCAAACTGAGCTATCGGGGAAGAAGAGCCTTGGTGAGAGAGGTAAAGAAGAACCCAAAGGTCACTGTGGCTGAGCTCCAGAGATGCAGTCGGGAGATGGGAGAAAGTTGTAGTAAGTCAACCATCACTGCAGCAATCCACCAGTCGGGGCTTTATGGCAGAGTGGCCCGACGGAAGCCTCTCCTCAGTGCAAGACACATGAAAGCCCGCATGGAGTTTGCTAAAAAACACCTGAAGGACTCCAAGATGGTGATAAATAAGATCCTCTGGTCTGATGAGACCAAGATAGAACTTTTTGGCCTTAATTCTAAGCGGTATGTGTGGAGAAAACCAGGCACTGCTCATCACCTGTCCAATACAGTCTCAACAGTGAAGCATGGTGGTGGCAGCATCATGCTGTGGGGGTGATTTTCAGCTGCAGGGACAGGACGACTGGTTGCAATCGAGGGAAAGATGAATGCGGCCAAGTACAGGGATATCCTGGACGAAAACCTTTTCCAGAGTGCTCTGGACCTCAGACTGGGCCGAAGGTTTACCTTCCAACAAGACAATGACCCTAAGCACACCGCTAAAATAACGAAGGAGTGGCTTCACAACAACTCCGTGGCTGTTCTTGAATGGCCCAGCCAGAGCCCTGACTTAAACCCAATTGAGCATCTCTGGAGAGACCTGAAAATGGCTGTCCACCAACGTTTACCATCCAACCTGACAGAACTGGAGAGGATCTGCAAGGAGGAATGGCAGAGGATACCCAAATCCAGATGTGAAAAACTGAGCAAAGGGTCTGAATACTTATGACCATGTGATATTTCAGTTTTTCTTTTTTAATAAATTTGCAAAAATTTCTACAATTCTGTTTTTTTCTGTCAAGATGGGGTGCTGAGTGTACATTACTGAGAAATAAAATGAACTTTTTTGATTTTTGGAAAATGGCTGCAATGAAACAAAGAGTGAAAAATTTAAAGGGGTCTGAATACTTTCCGTACCCACTGTATATACACTTTACCCAGTAGATACTTCTAGGCTGTTACTGAAGTTGTTATTCTAACTTTAACTTCTACTTGAGTACTTGTTACTGTAAAATAATATGACTTTTACTTGAGTGCGTGGCTACTCTTCCAACCTCATTTCTTCAAATTTGGAACATCTCAGAAAGTACACTTTTCAGGAATTTAAAAAAGACTTCTTTTCAGCCTGACAACAGCCTTTTCTATTTTAAATAGGTTCTCTGGAACATTCACATCCACCCATCCTACATAAAGGATCATGTGCAAACCTTTAGTTCAGGTAACAATGTGCAAATTGTGGAAACTGGAGCAGTGATAACATTGTCCTCCAACTCCAGTGTTTGGAGAGGAAACAGCTGACAACTCTTACCTGCTGTGCACAACAGCAGGATAGCTGAAATGATTAAGTTGCCAGGATCCCTTGAATCCCACCAGCTACAGGCCTATTTCCAAACTTCCATTCATATCTAAACTTTTACAGACTTGTCTCCACTCACCTTTCCTGTATTCAGCTCGGCTTCCATGAATCTATTGGTGAAACATTTCTGGCTGCTTTCAGAACAATGCACAGCACAGAGAATGTCCCTGTTAAGGCAGAAAACCATACTCTCATGGCAGCCCGAAAGTTCTGTTTTAATTTTAAGTTTTTTCTGACTTTCTCCCCTTTCCACATCGCCTGACTGCCTCATCCGTTGACACGTCGGTTCCTACTTCCTACTATCAGCCCTGCAGTGACCTTCCCTGCTCACCTGTTTCTTCTCTCCCTCATAAGGGTACATACTCACCATATATATGATTCACTTTTCTGTTTCTGGCCAGTTCATTCTAGTTGCCTTTTTGGTTTTTGCAGTCGATTTTCTGTTACCTGGACCTTTATCTGCCCACCTGCCAGTGTCCCTGCCTGCCTACCGGTCTTTCTGTCTGTACCTGACTGTAAGTTACTTCACCAAATAAATGACTGCAGTTATCCCGATGCCTCCCTGGTCTGTGGGTACTTTCCTGTGTGGAACCTTTAATCAAAGAACCAGATATTTTAGGTGCTTTAGCTGACACCTAATGTTGTCAATGGAGAAAATGCCCCACCCCCCCACCGGTTCATTGTATTTTCATAATGCAACATCCAACCCAAACCATCACAAATGACAGCTACAAAAATGATTTATATGGGTGTTTACAGATCTCTGATTTCAGTGGTTAAGGTTTGGTCAGGTTTAAGGTATCTGTATGCTAACACAGAATCTGGCAATTTTAGCAACTTCTGAAAGAGACAATGTGACAATAACACCCTCTGTGGGAGGTGAGAAAGTGTGCAAGTTTTGAACTTCTTTCTCTTTTTCGTACTTCACACAACAAATTGCAGTACCATAATCTTCTCATTTGTACTATTCTAGTCTAGTTCTCACTATCTGTGCATGGCAACTTCGGTATGGTGACGGTTTAGGGAATAAACTATGGGTTAAGGTAATGATAGTATTAAATATTAAAACACAACTTGCATTTGTTTGCATTGAGAAAGTCAGACACACTACACACCCATCCATCACCCTGACCTCCACACTCTTACTGTCCACCTCTTTCCATAAAGAACACACTATTTCCAGCGCTGGACGTTAACAGTGAAGCGCGGAATCGTTATAATATCATTCCAACTAGATGTCCTTGTCAGGTAATTATAATCGTGCAGTAGGTCGTTGTAGCCATTTGAACAAATGATCAATGCTGTCATTTTTCAGTTGAGGACAGTCTCAGGCAGCTCTAATTCTTCACTATGAACTAATTCCACTGTATAATTGTCTGCTCTGTTCTAGTAGCATTATATGAAACTTGTCACCTGTTAAAATGAGGGGAGACCCTAGATAGTGTTCAGATTGAAGCCACACATAAATGAAGAGAGGCTGGAGGATCTTCTGGGAACGTATTACAAGCAGATGTAATTTGCAATGGAGCATAAAGAATTGATTGGAAGTGCCAGCGGACCATTTTAATTTATTTCACTGTTGCCACCTGAGTTTCCTTCTCCCATAGTCCAAAATGTGACGGTACACTCATTTTTCAATTCAGTTTGGATTTTAGACATCCAATTTTTGTATAAAAAGTAGCACACTCTGCAAACCTCGATTTGCATGTTTGAACAGATTATAATGAGGAACGGACTAATTAATATTTGCAGAACAAAATAGCATCTATTATATATTCTTAATATTGATTCTTGAAAATGTTTTATGCAAGAACACAAGTACATGAAAAGGTGGCCACAGCCCTGAGGCTACAGCTCTAAACATCTTGCTCTTCACAGTTTTGAGTTAAGTAACTAATTTAAATGGCATTAAGGAATTGGATTTTTTTTCCTGGCTGTTTTCACATTCGTTTTAGAGGCTGTGGCGGTCGAGCACAAGTCTCATCTAATACAGTTCATCCCCATCAAATGCAGCTGCCTCCTGAGCTTAGACATTCCCCTGGTTCTGGACTGCTGAGCATAATTGAGCCCAGCACAGCACCGTGCTTTGTGAGGGAGACATCAGATGATGAAAAGGTTATGAAGAAGGGAAAATACTTATTTTTGCTGCTTTTAGACATTTTGACGGACAATACAGATATTGGATGATGGATGAACTCCTTGGTGCCCATATCAGTGTGAAATATTACAGAAAACTCTGCAATACACTGATTTCACTGGGAAGTCTTGTTATGTGATTCTGTAAACAGACATCATTCAATGATTAAGTGCTTGTTTGAATGTTTCAATGTATCTGTTGTTCAGATTAGATGCTTCTTCAAAACACAGCATTCTGTAGATTAACCATTCAGATGCCATTGCTTTTCCCCTGTGTGCCATTCAATCCTCATCTTTAGGTAATAAAGATAAAAGATAAAATTAGTGTTGCACAATTATTGAAAAAATATTGGCACTGACATAAAACGGCACTGGTGTGATTTCAAATTAGACAGAAAGCTGTTTTACACAGTGTTCAAAACATTAGCATTTCTGCTGGTCCAAATGTCTCGTACGTTTAGGTGAAACAACACATTATCGGCATATCCGATGAATAAACTGAATTATTTGGCCGGTTGGGGGGCAGCTGAACAAGCTGAAAACACATTATCTTCTGGAGTTATTATGCCGGACATCTTACCAAACTATTCTCCACATCCAGTAGACACAATATTGGGTTTCACTTAGAATCTTGTATCTGGCCACCTTATGACTCGCCCAGTAATCACTCTCGTGGCCCATCTGATTTGTTCTCCATCAGCTTCTGAGAAAAATATCTGATTTTTTAGACTACATGTTCCACTATGTTCTCCGGCCATTTACTGAATCTGTTGTTGTGTACAGTGGGTGTCTTGGTGACAGCTTTGTAGTGTGTTTTGCACTTTTTCTGCCAATTTTCCAGTTCTGCCTTGTTGTTTGTGGGTTCATTACTACACAAGGAGACACAGTACATTTCAGCAGTTAGACCCATTGGTAATCTAAAAATATTGAGTGCAGATTTAAATGAACCCAGTCATCTATATTTCACCTACTGTATATATATATATAAGAATTGCCACAGAAACTGTGCCTAAACTTCAAGTTTACTAAACTATGCTAAAAAATGCTTACCTGTAGATCAGAACTTCATCATCAGAGCAGTTGTATTGGAGCTGGTACATTTTCACCGTGGGAGCTGACTTGCTTACTGTCCACTTGACCAGCACTGAAACAGCTGTCACCTCGGAGACAGTAACAGTCCTCTCAGGTTGGCTCTTGGGAGCCCCCTTGCTGATCCTGGTGGTCCCTGTGATATCTGAAAGGCGTGACTTTGGCAGGACTGGCTGCCCGGTGCCGTTGCTGAGGTGGGGGAGCTGGACAATGGACACCTCCACGGAGGCGGTGGACTCCCCAGCTACATTAGCGGCAATGCAGGTGAAGGTGCCGTAGTCCTTGGAGGTCGTGATGGTGATGCTCAGGGTTCCGTTGTTGTACACTGCGGTTCGGGAGGAGTTGCCAAGCAGACGATCATCAGGGGAAATCCAGTGGATGGTAGGAGAAGGGTCTCCAGTTGCTTCGCACCGTAGGCTAGCCGTCTGGCCCTCCAAGACCAGCATTCTGTGGGTGTGCTGGGTAATGAGAGGTGGCTGACACACGAACTCCTCCTCCCTAACATTCCAAAAGTAACGACCCTTTAGGGCAGGAGGGGAGGCACAAGTCTCCAGGTCGTCGTCTCTCTCAAGCCTCCGCAGCCACAGTAACTCACAGTTGCAGTGCAATGGGTTCCCGCCTAGACTTAGGGACAGCTGTGGAGCATAGGGTGTGGTCAGGATCATTGAGTCCTGGGCACGGGCAAAGATAGGGTCTGGGGGTAGCTTCTGCAAGCGATTCGAGGTCAGGTCCAATCTTGCCAGCCTTTCCAGGTCAGTGAAGGTGCCCTCTGGAATAAAGTCCAACAGATTATGGTCCAGACTTAGCTGGTGCAGGTTTATCATCTGGCGGACTGAATTCCAGGGTAGAGACATCAGGTTGTTGTACGAGAGATCTAGATCCTCCAAGGCAGGTGCCAGGTCCTCAAAGGCCTTGTCATTGATGCTTCCCAGCTGGTTGTTGTTCACGATGAGGTGCTGCAGGTTGACCAAGCCTCGCAAGTCATCAGGGCCTAGCTCCGTCAAGCGGTTGTTGTCCAGATGAAGCGAGCGCAGTGTTTCCAAATCACCAAAGGAGAAGGGCTGAATGTAGCTGATGGTGTTCCTGGAGAGGGTCAGGTCCACCAGGTCGGTCATATTGGCAAAGTCCTGCTGTGTAATGCGGAGGATGTAGTTGCCTCCCAGACGGAGCTCCACAGTGCCTCGGTCTATGTCTGGAGGCACGAAAAGAAGACCTTTGGAGGGACACAATGTCCCCAGGGACTCTGACAGATTCTGGCATACACAGTACTTTGGGCAGGCATGGCCGATCATCACTGTGGCTCCCAGGATGAGCAGGCAGCAGATGATGTGGTCCATGGTAGACTCATACAAAGGAACCTGTGTGAGAAAAATAAAAATAAAGACAGACGATTTATGATAATCTTCATAAACTTTCTCATCTTTCAAGCTTTAGTATCAATTCAACCGGGGCCCTCTGACAGACCACAGAAGGCCCTCAGGTACAAAAGGTGTTCAAAAATCTGAGATGGAGCCACATGCCCAACTAAATCCTACCAGAAATGATCAAAATGTTGAAATAATTCCCCCAAATTCTCTGTTAAATGGGATCAGTTTAACACTTCGTTTGAAATCTTTACTTGAAGCCCACAGGAATCATTGCACTTTCATCTTATCTTACAATTTCCTGAGGCAGACTTATAGGGGGTGTGTGCTGTGAGTCTGAACAGCCCAAACGTTAAGCCTGAACACTTTATTCAGAGTTTAACATGAAACAAAGGACACCTGAAAGGTCGTTACTATGGACAGTTTATATAATATTTATATTTCTCTGCTTCGTTTTCTCTTCCAAATATTTTTCTCTAAAATTGGATGTTTGTTTCCAACCTGTCAGATTATTTGACTACTTCAGTTTCTTGCACAATCAAACTCACTTTTAGTGATGTCAGCATGTTCTACAATGGTTGCGTTCTACACCTGTGCAAAGTATTCGGAAGCTATTAGTCACCTGGTAGCCAAACAGCTGATAGTAAAGCGTCACTGAAGTGTGACTTCAGTGCTCTGTCTGAACTAACGCAATCAGCTATTATACAATAACCATGTTTCTATGGGATTTAAAAAGCATCGGGGCATTGACATTACACAAAATATAAAGTGTCTTGTCAATGGAACACATCGTCTGTTTCTATTATGTACTATCTAGGTCTCGCTGTGACCTAGGTCCATTTCTCCTGGTGGATTGAGAACTCAGGTGTACATAATGGTGTAATCATAATGTTGTAGATCTGAGAATATACCACAGTAACTCAGGTCCAGAGCATTAGACAGAAGGCACTCAGACACAAGATATGAGCTGTAACTGAGGGCCGCCGGGGGGACTGTGGTGATAAGTAGTATTTTTATGGGATGCTAATAAATTTACATATCTCAATGGTCAAATAAAATGGAGCCTCTAGTGTGACCAACTGATGCAGTCTCCCCCGTGTTACCCTTTATTATTACCACGGAGACACCTGAAATTTTATTTGTACACTGTAAATGTGATGATCTCTCTAATCAAACAAATTCTAAACAACTCAGACAGCCAACAGCTTAAAATAGAAAGGATTCCAAACAAAATCAGTATACCACCGTGCACATTTGCATCATGTCATGCACAGTGTCATTACACAATATTGTTTTTCATATATACGAACAAACATGCAGATAAACAGCATGAATGCTTTCCAATATAAACTGAGATTATCCCTCTTTCCTTGCTGGCTCACACCCACACATGTATGCACACATCTACATCTGTACAGTGCACATACACTCACACATGGCTGCGCACACCCACACTCACATGTCCAAACACACACCACTGCATCGTCAAATATTGTCATGTTTGCACTGGGTTGCATCTCACTTCTTTTCACTTTCAACAGAGCACAAGGTTTTCTGCCACACAAAGATGTGTTCTTATGATATGATAGAGGTGTTAAGGGTCGTAATAATGAGGAATAGTTCAGTGTACCAGCTGGCCTTTATTTGTTTGTGCTTAAAAGTTGTAAAATTGATAATAATGCATAGACAAGAAATGAAAATACAGTTAAATACCGAAAATGTGCTTTTTTATTGAATGTGCAATGAGGTTAGCTCCTTTCTAATATCCAGCCTACCATATAGTGCATTGCAAATTTTCAGCAAAGTCCTTTAGATTGTGCTCACAGGACCAGGGGAACACAAATAGAAGCATTTCATCACAGAGAGCAGAGCAGCACACTGAGGAAGAATGTTTAGTAAATCATCTGGCCAAAGTCCAGGGCGCTCTGTGGAGGATGAATGGTGTTGGAGGTCAGGGAGATGGCAAAATGACATCTCTCCTGTCAAGCCAAGCATGGCGGTCATGCAGGTGGCTCTGTCATATGTTGAGCAGAGCCAGGACAGCAGTAATCATTGAAGGCCTTGATGTGAACACTCATCACAGCTCCTGACAGACGCGGCCATGCCGACCCCGGGGTCTGCCAGGCTCCGGCCTTCAAGCGCTGACCCATAGGTGGACGGGGAGCGACTGACTTCCGAATCATTTCACAGCGACACTTATCTGAACACAGGCAGGCCCGTACGGTTACAGTAGATAGACTTGGAAATGTGGGTCTCAGTGTTGTCGTGATAACCGCAATTTCCCTAACCGTTGTGAAAGATTGAATTCAATATTGAATTTCCTGATCATTCAACGTTTTTACCAACTGTGTTGTTGCAAGCTGAAATTTCATTTCAGCGTGAGCTCCAGACTCTGCACAGACAGCACCTGAGTTTGAATAGTAAAGAGAAGAGAAAGCGTCAGAAGTGAAATTGATGGACACACAATCTGTCTCATGACAGCACACTGCAGCAGTCATTGCGGGATTGTAAAAAAAAGTCACATGGGTGAAACGTGGGAACAGCATCAGTGTACCTCACAAAGCTGTACACTCCCAGTACACTTACACTGTTACCAGCAGAAACATATGGACACTAAAACTACATATTTTATTCTGTGCAAAAGGAGTTGCAAAAGATAAGTTATTGTCTTTAACTGGTTACTCTGTCTACTGCAGTATCATGCCAGTAGATTTTTAGAAATTAATCTATTGTTAGAACAGTAGAGAGGGTCTATGTTGGAGGATGTGAGAAATGCTCAGTAGTAAATAGCTCCACCTGCGGATAAGTAGAATAAAGTGTAACCATTGGCCGGAACGTGTATTGCGTCATCCACGCATGGATGTGAATGAACCAGATCCTCCTACACAGAGCACAACATGTTATCAGTGAGGAGGAGGATGGAGAGATGGAGGTGTGTTGGGTCTAAGCCAACGGGTGCAACTAGTGGATGATACCAATCCTGCCTTGATTAAAGATTAAGACCGAATTCAAAAAGGATTCCCTTACAAGGCTAGACAGTCAGGACATCTAACCAAAATCTTTAGGTCACAGGGAGTCAATTAACTGCGAACCAAACAATCTCATCACATACAAGGCCTGCTGCTTATCTACCACCCCACTCTTTTCTCCTCCTGTGTTGTTTCAGAGCGACACACAGCGTCCCCGTAACCATAGTAACTCATTCTCACTCCTCACTCATGGTGTGAGCAGAGGGGGAGAGATGCTGACGGAGATTACTCCGAGCTGCATCCAAGGGGTAAAATTAGCCAGTATATTTCTCACTTTCCCCCCTGATGGTCTGAATAACTCACTAGATTTGTTGTTAGTCGCTTTGTAGAAATAAAGTCGCTGAGGGTCTGATATAGTTAGGCAGCGGACCAAACCATTCAGAGGCATTTGAAGGGGGAGGAAATAATCTTAGCTCATACAGAAGCCATGAGTAGGTGGGGGAGGGTGAGAGTTTTTTTCAAACTCAGCGTGGGAGGGTGCATTTACATGAATCAGCGCCAAAGAGTTGTTCGTTCATTTTTAGCAAACGCACGAGTGTTTTCATCCTCAGCCCAATGAAGATAAAAGCCCTTCAACTTTCAGGCTCCCTCACGTTACCATTTCTTTTTTGTCCATATGACAGGGCCAGCATTTTGCTGTTCTACATTGCTTGCAATACATTAATGAGAAATGCTGTTGCACACATTGGTGAATAATGTGCCTCCCTGTTCTTACATTGCTAGGACTGCAGCTGATGGTGGGAGGCTTCCCTGTTGGTTTATTATTTCTCTCTTCCACATCACAGACAGCATGTCCCCTCTGAGAATCAGATAATGGATATGTACACTCAATGACAACAACAATATGAACCCTGCTCCTGAAGGCAACATGGGCGCTTGCTTTTCGTTTGCATGTATCTCATCTATAGACAGTGAAAGACTCAAAATCATGATAGTGCATGCGAGGCGAACACAAATTTCCTCTTCAAAGTACTTTGTAAGTCACATGCTGCATTACAAGTCTGAAATACTTTACAACCCAAAATTCAGAATATTGTAGAATCTAATAGCACATTCATTGTAGGCACTAACAATTCTGCTAAGTGAAAAATAAAATATATAAAGTATGCTTAATTGTCATTGTTTATATTTAAATCACTTCAGAGTACAGTTCTAGCTTAAAAAGTCAAGATGAGGTAACAACAGTAACCTTCTGGCAGCACCCATCTCATATCTTCCCCTATCAGTTGTCACAGTGGCGGGATGTCATTTTTCATTTTTGACTGGCTGCCTATCTCAAGAAGGCAGGTCTCACCTAATATGAGCCTGTCAGACTGCAGACACCAGAGAAGTAAGCATAGAGGAAGAAGAGGAGAGTGGCATGCTGCTCTGAGTGCAACCATTTTTGTTGAGACAATGCATGATAATCCCCAGCACGTATTTTGGTTTAGTTTCTGTATGCGTGTATTTGTTAACTTAAATAAACTAAAACCTACCGATCTCAGTGCACAACTTTTAAAACAGGAGGAGGCCTTTCGTCGACAGTCGAGTGAGCAACAACACTTGGAACCACTGGTAGAAAGTTAGTGGAGTTCATTGTGATTCAGGCAAGGCCTGCGTCCTTTTCTTGTTGAGTGGCATTACGTTTAAATTCTGGCCTGTTAGTAGCTGGTACAGAAAGGTTTAGTTTTTAATTAACCCCTACACAGTACTACCTGTACAGTGACACAGGACACAGAACAGTGCTTCAGTAGTGCATATTCCCATATTCCTAGACAAAGTTGCTCTCTCTCTCTCTCTCTTGCTCTCTCTCTCCATCCTAGAAGGTTCACCAGCCTTAGTTTTGTTTGGTTTGATTGTGTCTAGTTTACCCTTCATTAAAGTTACAAGTTGTTTTAGGTTTGCTCTTACAGTTTCGCAGCTTAATATACGCACGCTGCACCACTGACTGCTGACTTCACACACCACAGTTTGCCGATGATTATA